TATGTCAATGTTCTTTGCTCTAGACTAGAGGCATCGTAATTAGTAGTTCTTCTTTGTCATTGGTTTGGTTGAGGTACATGCACGGATGTTCCAACAACTGCTGGATATATCGTATTCAAGGACAGCATTCGAGTTCACCCTTTATCAAGTTATTGTTTTCTTTATCACTCTGGGATTAAAGGTGAAAATGCTTTACAAATCCAACACATGCTTCTCACTGGTGGTGTATTCAAGTTGGCCTGCCCATCGTATTTTTCATCTTGTTCTGGATGTTTTATGGATCTAATAGTCAAGCAGTAGCCATGTATCCAATGAAGTTGTATTTTCAAGAACAAAAATATGTACTAGTATATAGTTTAGAAGTTGATATCTCCCAAGGTGAATTGAAGCATACAACCATGATGCAGCCAAACTTGATTATGCTAAAAAAATGCTCCCATGTCCAAAATTTCAATCAATGTGCAACCACTAGAGGTACCACCTTTTTTTATTACAACATTCTAAACATTACCTTCATTCATTCAGCAGGTACCGAAGACTGGACGCAACTGAAGTTCTTGATATGAAGTCGAACCAAATCTGATACTTGGCTTGCTGGAAGAGCCGGATGAGCTTTGGTCGTGATGTTGTTTCCACAAGAAAAAGTTGTGGTTCATTGAGTTCCTGTAAATTGCCATCTTTCTTTGCTTGACTTGGACACTACTGTAGTAATCATGATGGCCACTACCTCCTCGTTCATAGTCTTCCTATATTCCCATCGCTGTATGCATCAGCTGGACATCTGGTGTTCTGTCGATTATCCTCTCTTTGACGATTGTGTTGTACTTATCTGAAAGGAACACGCCACGGCCTGGTGGCCATGAATCGAGGTCCCGTTTTCGGGATAACAATCAAAAAGCTATGAAACGATTATGGGACGGAGGGAGTAGATCTCAATCATGCTTTTTAGAAGTCACTGTAATGAATTAGTTTTTCTAGTATTGTATTGTTCTACATTCAGAACCATTCAATCCCTGGAAGACTAAGCAACGATTCATTCATATGGACATTTTGTTGTTCATTTTCAGAAGATAATATTTTCAGCCAAAGCTGTTGCTTGCATCTAAAGCTTGACCTAATCAGTGCTGTTTTCAGCCATGTTTTCGTTTTAAGTTGTTCAGTGGTGGCCTTGATGCTTAATTGAAGTCAATTTTTTAGGTTAAAGAAGAAATTGAGTTGGCCCTCGCAAATCATGCTGCTATGACGACAAGGTATTGTATATGACACCTTGTGACAAGCTTTTAGGTTCGTAAACTGATGCAGATTTATCTAACCACCTAGTTTTTTTCCTTTTTCATTAGAAGTCCCACATACACTGTTCCATCGTCATCGAAAAATTTGCAGATCCAATTCACGACTAGGCTTTCTCTTCCAATTTTCACTGGCTCCAAGGTTGAAGGTGAGGGTACCTTAAGTATTGCTCTAGTTGACACTTTGACCAGAGAGGTTGTAGTAATGGGTAAGGAGTCCCTGTTGAAGGTTGAATTTGTAGTTCTAGAGGGTGACTTTGAACTTTGAAGACGGAGAAGGCAATGACTGGACAGCTCAGGAGTTCAATACTAACATTGTTAGAGAAAGACAAGGTAAACGGCCCTTCCTTTCTGGAGATGTGTTTGTTGGTCTTGATAGAGGCATTGGTAGAGTGGGAGATGTATCATTCACAGATAACTCCAGCTGGACACGCAGCCGAAAGTTCAGGTTAGGTGCAAGAACTGAGGATGGTTGTTATAAATTATAATGGCGTAAGAGTACGGGAAGCAAAAACTGAATCATTTGTGGTAAAGGATCATCGTGGAGAATGTGAGTTCATGCCGCTTTCAATTGTTATTTGTTTCTTGCACCCCTTTCTGTACATTTGATAAGTTTCATCATTTTGGCGCAGCGTCCTTAAACTTGACAACTGCACATAGAAATATAAGCACATGAATTCCTTGCTGCAATCTAGATTTGTTAGAACACATTTTATATGATAGTCATAGTCATGTAATAAAAATTTGCTTTCTCAAAGGATTTTGACCAACTTAGTTTACTCGTACTGCTAATAATGATTGGCCTATGTCATCGCTTCATTGTCTCAAATGCTACCAAAATGGACAAATGTAAATGCCTCACTTGTTATATTTTGTTCCCATTTCCCAGTGTACCAGAAGCATCACCCACCAGTTCTTGAAGATGAGGTTTGGAGACTGGAGAAGATCGGCAAGGAAGGAGCTTTTCACAAGCGTTTGAATAAGGAGAAGATAGTTACAGTCAAAGATTTTCTCACTTTATTGCATCTTGATGCTCCTAGGCTCCGGAAGGTACTATGCACTCTTTTGCAAGGTTTACAGAATTTGCTTATGTATTTATATTCTATACTCTTTGTAGAGTTTACACAAGCTGTTGATGACTTGTCCATTCTATCCAAGGTTGACATGTATATTTATATCGAACGTGTTTGGCAGCATTATTTTGTAAATCTTTGAATTAGGAAAAACTGGATCCCTCATTTGGATGGATCAACTGTATTTTATCTATGGTAGTGTAAATGAGGTGTGGCATGTTGTTGCAGATGATAGTGGTGGCTCAGAAAATATGCAGATATTGGGCACTGGCATGTCAACTAAGATGTGGGAAACCTGATCATTTGTCGGGCCGGGTCCGGTTCGGGCCGGGCTTGACAAAGCCCGAAGAAAAAATCCCAAGCCCGAGTTTGGCCCGGCCTGGCCCGAAGTACACGAACAGTGGCATTTTTATTAAATTAATCATTTTCGTGATATTATATTAATTTATTATACCTATATTTTGAATAAAACACGTATATATATACACACATTTCGGGCTTTCGGGCCGGGCTTCAGGTCAGAAAGTGGAGCCTGAGTCCGGCCCGAATGTCGGGCTTAGGGTTCGGGCCGGTGGGCTGGGTTGTCCATGACCAGGTCTAGTGGGAGGTTACTATTGAGGATGCAAAAACAACATGTATACTCAGTGACAAGTTGCTTGTTTACTATCTAGAAAACCCAAGCAAAACTGCAGTTGTGTTCAATGCTGTTGGAGAAGTGAGAGGGTTAATATCGGAGAAGTTTGTTTCTGTTGATGATCTAACAGAAAAGGAGAAGGTATTCACTTTTCTTCGTCGTATAAGTTCTTTAGATCAAATTCATTTCCCCTTGTACCAGTTGCAACCTAGACCATCTGGTCTTACAGCATTTGTTCTTTCTAGGCTGAAGCAAATGCAGCTGTTAAACAAGCATTTGAAGACTGGAAGAATGTCTCGACCTGCGACAGTGAAACACTTTTGGAGAATCCGTCATAGCTCCTCAATATGGGATCCTCATCTTTATGTGAAAACGAATTTTTCCAGTTACCTGCACAAGTTGCCACTGACGATTTTGAGTTAAGCCACTTGGACATACCATCAGGTGACATTTTCTCTGTGGAACCATTGTGTGCCTTGGATCCTTGTGCGGTGGGAGCTGTAGAGAGCAGTGAAAATAGATTTCAGCCTGAGCTTCCCCCACTTGGTGGCCATGGACAGCCTCAAGAATCACTTGCTTTAGACAAGTTGTCGAATTCATTGGTTTTCGAGGAGAGCACCAGTCATGCCTCATTCAACGAAGAAGACTACTATTGCCGTCCAGATCCTCCCCCGGTATCCTTTGACTTGCAAGATCTTGGCGCTGCGCTGAAGGGAGACGGTATCAAAGCCCAAGCCATATGTCATAGGATGGATATTCTACACCAGGAGGATGGCCGCTCACAAGAGGAAGAAATCCGGGAAATGATGATTTTCATTTGCCAGTGGTTGATTAGTTAAAAGATTGTGAGATATAGAAGTGGAGGAAAGGAAAGCATGTGTACATGAGTGGTTGGTTATCTTTCGGATCTTTTCATTTTGCGCGCTCTTTTTGCTGGTGTTCTCGAGCCGTTTTATCAGCGAGAGTCAAATGATTGTTTTGCTGGTGTTCTTATGCCGTTTTATCAGCGAAGAGTGACACCTGTAAATAATCAAATGATAGTTACTCGTGTCTCAAGCCCGGTTTATCAGCGAGAGTGACACATGTAAATAATCAGATGAAGCTCTGTACAGTACTCCCTCCATCCCATAATGTAAGAAGCTTTGTCAAAAAGCTTCTTACATTATGGGACGGAGGCAGTACATAAATCCGTAAATATGAATGGTGGTGCTATTGTGTCAATTTGGTCCATAACTTGTTGCCACATGTTTTGTGTTATGACATTACATGTGCGCACATGCTGCCCAAGTATGAATGAAGTCCACAAGTGCAAAACCAAATGGATTGTGCTGTGCTGCCAAATTCAGGATCCATACTCCAAACATTTGTTGGATCTAAAGTTTCAAAGCAGCGACGCATGACATTTGTTGGATTCAGGATCCGCATCTCAGGGAAAGTTATGTACTCTCTCCATCCGTTCCAAATTCAGGATCCATACTCCAAACATTTGTTGGATCTAAAGTTTTGTGGTATGAACTTTCTGTTGTGATGTACCCTTCAGGTTTTTACCACGTAATTTAAACTAAAACCACGACGAGTAATTTGGAACGGAGGGAGTAGTACATAACTTTTCCTGAGATGCGGATTTGTATATTTTTTTACTATAATAAATACTCGCCCAAGTCAAACATGGATGGTGGGTTGAACTCCGGTAGAAGAAACTGGCTACGCTAAGAAAATCGCTTTCAGAGTGAGTGAGTGGTTGGGCAAAGCGTCAGTGTAGCGTACAGAAGGCTTCTACAGTAGTACGTATATTACAGGATATTGACCAGATCAAGATGAGGCGAACACTGACTATGTTCATAGAGTGAGTGTATACGCGTGTATATGAGCGTTTGCGTCTGTACTGTGTTCTAAAAAAATTTACAGCTCCTGCTGGTCTACTACACTACACGCACACACAGACAAAGAGAAGCTCTGCTGCGTTAGCTCGGATCGGAGGTCAGAATCAAAATCATTCGAGCCATGGCTGAGCTAGCTCCGCTTTCCATGCTCTTCCTTGCCCTGCTCGTCGTCGTCCCCGTGCTCCACTTCATCCGGTCGTCACGCCGGCATGAGGGAAGCAGCCGGCCGCGGCCTCCGCCGTCGCCATGGGCGCTGCCAGTCATCGGCCACCTCCACCACGTCGCCGGCGCGCTCCCGCACCGCGCGATGCTGGGCCTGTCGCGCCGCCACGGCCCGCTCATGCTGCTCCGCCTCTGCGAGCTCCGCGTCGTCGTCGCCTCCTCGGCCGACGCCGCGAGGGAGATCATGAAGACCCAGGACCTGGCGTTCGCGTCGCGGCCCATGACCCCGACGGGGAAGGCCCTCCTCGGCGACAGCCCGGGCATCGTGTTCACGCCCTACGGCGACGCGTGGCGCCAGCTCCGCAGGATCTGCACCCTCGAGCTCTTCACCTCCCGCCGCGTCAGGTCCTTCCGGCCCGTGCGCGAGGAAGAGGTCGGGCGGCTGCTCCGGTCGGTGGCGGTGGCGGTGGCGCCGTCTCCGTCTCCGTCGTTGGCGGTGAACCTGAGCGAGCGGATCAGCGCATACGTCGCGGACTCGTCGGTGCGCGCCGTCATCGGCAGCCGGTTCAAGGACCGCGGCGCGTTCCTTCGGATGCTGGAGCGGAGGATCAAGCTCGCGCCGGCGCAGTGCCTGCCGGACCTCTTCCCGTCGTCGCGGCTGGCGATGCTCGTCAGCCGGATGCCGCGCGAGATGAAGCGGGAGCGCCGGGAGATGAGGGACTTCATCGACGCCATCATCCAGGAGCATCAAGAGAACAGCACGGCCGGCGCCGGCGCCGACGACGACGACTTTCTCGACGTCCTCCTGAGGATCCAGAGAGAGGGGAAGCTCGATCCTCCCCTCACCACCGACGACATCAAGGCAGTCATCGTCGTAAGCTGCTCATCTCGATCTTCTCCTACTACTCCTACAATGGAGGAGAAATTTTCAACACCGTACGTACGTCGGCGACTAACTTCCTCTGCTTCAACTCGGACAGGACATCTTCATAGCGAGCAGCGAGACGTCGGCGACGGCGCTGCAGTGGGCCATGGCCGAGCTGATGAGGAACCCGAGGGTGATGCGCAAGGCGCAGGAGGAGGTCCGGCGAGCCCTCGACGGGCGCGACAGGGTCACGGAGGAGAGCCTGGCGAGCCTGCGCTACCTGGACCTCGTCATCAAGGAGGTGCTCCGGCTTCACCCGCCGGCGCCGATGTTGCTCCCCCGCGAGTGCCGGGCCCCGTGCCGGGTCCTCGGCTTCGACGTGCCGGTGGGGGCCATGGTGCTCGTCAACGCGTGGGCGATCGGCAGGGACCCGGCGCACTGGGACGAGCCGGAGGAGTTCTCGCCGGAGAGGTTCGAGGGCGGCGGCGTGGACTTCAAGGGCACGGACTTCGAGTACATACCGTTCGGCGCCGGGCGGCGCATGTGCCCCGGGATGGCGTTCGGGCTGGCCAACATGGAGCTCGCGCTCGCCAGCCTTCTCTACCACTTCGACTGGGAGCTGCCGGACGGGACGGGGCCCGGGGAGCTGGACATGGCCGAGCTTCTGGGGCTCACCACGCGGCGGCGCTCCGACCTCCTGCTCGTCCCGGCGATCAGCATGCCATTGCCAAAGCAAAATTTGAATGCGCCAAGCGAAAATTCTTTCGACATTAAGCCTTAGGGTAGCGAAATTTGCAACATGGGAGATTTATTGCTATTGCTTCAATTCCAGCAAAGAAAGAAAGAATAGAACAAAAGTGATATTTTTACACGTATGGTACCAGTCTACCAAACCACAATCACATCACCAGAACCTGACCAGAACTACTTCTGCACAGAGCACGGGAAAAAACCAAGTAAATTTATTCAGAACATTCCATGGCGCTCTCAAGATGATCGTGCTGTTCCGCTTCTGTACTTCTGTTATTTGGTAGTATGAGATCTTGAAATACCAGTGGTCGATTAGACTGGTTTTCTCAGGTCTGAAATATATAATACAATTATGCACTCTTGATTCTCTTCCGAGAAACAAAGAGGTATCGCCGCAGCGCAAGCAGCGAGATCCAAGTGAACTTTGAAATCTTCTCTTTTATCATCAGCAGTAATGCGGAGCTCAGAACTGTCTTTAGTATCTGAGCATGCAATCCTTTGAAGAACCCTGGGATGCCTTCCTTGTTCCACATTGCATGCATGGCGCCCAACATTGTTTTGGGAGGCCTTGAATTGCCTGGCTTTTCAGATTCGTCCTCGTCGTCCTCATCGGGGTCTGCAGCCTGAATCATGACCTTGCACCTGTTTGGAAAATGGCGTCATATAATTGCAGTGGCGGTTGAATTTATAGGCAGCACTAACAGGCAAAAGCAAGTGGGAAGGTCCAGATAACAAGTGCTGGCAAAGTGAAGTTTCCATACCTGATTAATGGGTAAGTCAAGATTGTCGCAACACTTTTTGAGATGGCACCAAGGAGAAATGCCGAGAAAGCAGAAAGAGCAACCGGGGAAGAATCACCTGCTGATTCTGCATTTCTACGCGTTTGCCTCAGAATTAGCTTCTGCTTAAGCTGGTCAAACACGGTGTACTGCAAAGGATTGCACATAAAACAGTTGTTATCTCGTGCACGAAGAAGGAAAAGAAAATAAAGCTTATAACGTTACAAGTTACACCCAAGAGCAGTACCGTTAAGGTTGTATTCAGATTAAGAATACACTGCTACTTTTCACTTTAAATATGGTAATGCAGCATGGATTTTGAGTCGCTCGACTAGTCACGACTAGTCGACGACTAGTCTATGAGTCACAAAAATATGGTCGACTCAGCTTAGTGTCGACTCGCGACTCTTGAGTCGCGGAGTCGCGACTAGTCACAACGCAGGCTCGACTTCTTCCGAGTCGCTGCCCCAGAGCGACTCGCATGAGTCGCGACTCGAAAACCATGTAATGCAGACACTACATACTCAATAATACTGAAACATGTTTGAAGGCTCTACAGTTACTACAAAACATCAACGACTTATTGACTGAATCAAGAAGGTGAAAATCATGAGGCCAATGGTTCACACCATTTTGCAGACCTAAATATATGCATTTGCTCTAGTAGGAGACATGGACAACAACACACATCCACAGATAAGTCCTGAACTTCTTCCTCCCAGTTTGTTCAAGATATTATCCCAAGTTCCATAATGGAAGGTACGACTGTATGAGAGCCCCATTTAATTTACAGATAACTGCAATGGTACTTACAAGTACATCGTAGTACACAACCAGACAACATTCCAAGAATTTTGCCCTAGCTAAATATTTCTTTGTGATGGCTCCCATGTTTGTTCAAGCAGAAAATGTTAAATTGGATTGAGGCATCTACATGTCTCTTTACCAAAAAATACTCGAGCAATGTATACAGAAAAGGACATAGCTGGACAATGTAACTCAAGAGGGCCAATATTAAGTTCTACAAGATCTGTCGTACAATAATGATGCAAAAGTTAGTACCTGAATTGAAGGATTGCATGTTAACATAAGGGAAATGCCCAAGCCATCGAATGCCTCAAGCCAAGTACCTTCCGCGAGAGTTGCTCGCAGCCCTTTGGACTTTCCGAAAGCACTTGTTTGCATTCTAGAAGATGCTGTATCTAATGGCTGAAATGGTGAGAGAAACGAGTATAAGATCAGGCAGCTAAAACTGTTTTTCAAGAATCTATAAGATTAGTTACCTGTGTCACAACAACTGTGCAAGCACCAGCGGCGGCTGCAATCAGCAAGTTGGCTTTTGTTCCAATAGATTTAGCTCCACTCTTCTCCAGGTAGAGTCTTTTGAAATAGCTATAGCCATAAAAGTAAACAAACTGCGAAATGAAGGACTGGATATTCTTCGTCTTAAGGCCCTGATATAGGGACAAAAATTGCTTTTTCCTAATTGCTTCCCAAAAGACATCTGAAAGGTTCCTGAAAAGTCATGAGGCCAGTTAGTTTGTACAATGGAGTAACTAGAGAAGTTCAATGTATATGATGAAAAGGAATTTTATGCTAGAGATGTAACAGCATGCAGTGAAATCAAAAAACATAAAGGGGAAGACATACTAGATGAAAAGATAAATTTTCATAAGCTCAAAACCTTTTAAATATTTTTTAGAGCACACAAATGCAGCCAATTGAACATCTCAACTAGCCAAAATATTTAAGGCCAACACATCTCTCTTAGTAGTGCATGAGAATATATTGTTTATGGTAAATGTCTTCACATTTCAGTTACTACTAGGTCTAGGTGATTGGCAAGGAAACACCTTCACGGGTATGATCCTTTTATTTTGGCTAAACTACTTCCCTTGGCAGCTTCACAAATTACAACAATGATTCATCTCACTATTTGTAGAGCTTGTAAGGAATCAACCCAACCCCTGTTGCTTGGAACTGAGCCGTGAGCTCCTTCCTTATTTAACAACCTGAAGTAATTATGCATACAGATTTGTACAATTTCTAGATTAAGCGAACTCCTTGCGAATTAACAGTCCTAGCAACTTGTGCAAAGACCATTAACTGTTTGCCCTTCACCAAACAAAAAACTTGGGCCTAAGGAGATATTGATTTACTGAATTCACGATAGGGTTAAGTGGAAACCAGCCCGTCCACGTCTAACGCAGGATGGATATTCCTAGGTGGCAGGATGATCCACGGAGGATCCCAAGCATCGTCTGCGGAATCCAGTCCCCCAGATCCGAACTCGCACTCAATCGAGCACCCAAATTCCAGTCCTGGAGCCGGCGATCAGCTTATGTCCAGACGGGCAGCAGGCACCAGCAATCCGCAACGGAATCAAGGAGGGGGGCCGGCCCAGGGGAAGGGGGGAGAGGGGAGCAGGAGGGACTGGCTGACCTGTACTTGTGCGCGCCCTGGTCCGTCTGGACGTCGGCCTGGAACTTGGTCTTGCAGGTGTCGAGCGGGTAGAGCACGGTGGTGCTGACGAGCGCGCCGACGGCCCCCGACGCCGCCTCGGCCAGGCTGTCCCAGTCCACCCCGCCGCCGCCGTCCTCCCCCTCCATGGCGGCCGACGAGATCCCCCGAGCCCGACTCCGAGAGGAATCTCTGCAAGGCAAGGCAGTCTCTCCCTCTCCCTCCTCGGAGCTCTCGGCTGGCTGCTAGTCTGTTGCTGGGTCCAAGCTGCCTGTAAGTAGTAATAATCGGCGGGCGTACCTTCCAGCGAGGAGGGAGGGAGGGAGGGAAAGGGGGTGTGTGTAGGCAGGAGGAGGAGTAGGAGAAGAGGGAGACGTGACGGCAGAGGAGGGCCAGCGTGGCGGCTGCGAGCCAGCCAGGCCACTACGAGTCACGTACCCACGGCTGCACGACACGGCACGGCACGCCGGTCGACCGTTTCGGGGCGGGGTATCTGGCTGGTGCGTCCCAGTATCTCCGCGGTACGTTGGAACGAGCCGTTTGGGTTTTCCGTTGGGGTGGGTGGGTGGTGGCGCCATGGATCGATCGTGCGCCCGAGCACCCGAGCTCCAGTGGCCTGTGGGTGTGGGTGGGTGGAGACGGCGAGGACGACCGGAAGGGACCTGCCGGGCGCGAGGGCCTCTGCTCTGCTGGCCCGTCGTCGGTCTTTGGTCAGTCCGCCATCTTCCACACTTGGACGACACTAGTCGGAGGGGCTCGCTCGCCACGTGAACCTCGTGCCCGTTTCTGCGTTTTTTTTTAACATCAGACACAAGCGCTTATATACACGCGTATACACTTACCCCCTACCCTTATGAGCACCTCTGAAAAATTGTGCCGGCATATCATCTTGAGATTTACGAAGTCACCATAAGCGTCTCGTCGTCGACGAAAACATCTCCTCCCGCTGAATGCGCATCGCCGAAAATCCTGAAATAAATCTAGAAATAAATGCGAGCACCAAAATTTAAACCTTAGTGAGATGGGGATACTACAGTCCCTCTAATCATCCAACCCCAGGTTGGTTCACGTTGGACTGCTCTCTTCCTGCTGCACGGACGCGGCAATCGGATGGTGTGTGGGCAAGGGACGGGACTGACCTTAGGTGCGATTTGCGCCCCCTCCCCTTGGTATGTTTGCAACGCACCTCTGCAAATGCCCACGCTGCCAGTGCAACCAGAAGGCTCCTAGGTCCTCAACTTTCTTCTCCTTTTTTTTCCTTTTGCGGAAGGGTCGAAGGTTCGTATATTATATCAAATCGGCCCTTACAAAAAACTTCCATCGAAGAATAAGAAACTGCAAGCAGGTATTTAAAGAAAATCAACACCGTCTTTCTTCCGCCTCTGTCTCAATGGAGCAATTAACATACGAGCTTGACGACACATCGGCTGGGAAGTCCTCGACGTAGACCAGAAGATGTTGACGGCCACGATCTACACAAACCGCAAACCCTGAGAAGCTAGCACAGAGTAGGGCCCAAAGATAATCCCAACTCCGGCCAAACAGGGGGGGGGGGCACAAACCTCGCAAGTTCCTCTACAAAGCACCATCTCGATGAGCTTCATCGGACGAAGAAGGAAACCGAAAAGAAAAATATATGTCGCAACATCTTCCCCTTCGTGGGAGGAAGCCGGTCACCTAAAACAAAAATGAAGACAAAAACGAGGCCCGAATTCTGGCCCTGGATGAAGCTTCACGTGTGCTCCGTCGATGCCAAACAACATCACCAGAATGACGATAAGACGGTGAGGTC